ACTGTATTTGTGCCAGTTTTCATCTTTTGTCTTTTTAAAACTAAACTAAACCTCAAAATCTATGTCTGTGTGATCTTGACTCCATAAAACCTACGACAAAAAATAGGGATATTGTAACCGTGATAAAAACCTACCAAGCCTAAAGTTAATTAGCTCATAGTTGATGGTGGAGTGACGAGTAGTTGGTTAATGGAGGAGTGACGAGTAGTTAGTTGATGGTGGAGTGACGAGTAGTTAGTTTATGGAGGAGTGGCGAGTAGTTAGTTGATGGAGGAGTGACGAGTAGTTAGTTTATGGAGTGGCGAGTAGTTAGTTGATGGAGGAGTGACGAGTAGTTGATGGAAGAGTGACGAGTAGTTAGTTGATGGAAGAGTGACGAGTAGTTGATGGAAGTGACCAGTTAATGGTGGAGTGACGAGTAGTTGATGTTGGGGTAACGAGTAGTTAGTTGATGGAAGAGTGACGAGTAGTTGATGGAAGTGACTAGTTGATGGCCGAGTGACGAGTAAGTAAATTATTTGCAGATAAAGAGGAAACAAAGTTCAGTAACTGTCTGTTATCATTAAAATATCTAATCAGTTTTTTTTAAGAGCTTTAACACTTTAGTGGTAAAATTAATGCTGTACCAGAGACTAAAAAAAAAAATCCCTCATAGCAGCAGTGGGGCGAGGTGAGGCACAGCTTGGCAAGGTGTGTGCGCGTGAAGTAGCCTAGTAATAGTGAATATATTTGAGGCAGGCAGTAGGGTCCACACTGCACCAACTAGCTCTCGTCCTGGGAGTAACCTAGCGGAAATAATAGCGTCAGAGTTATATAACCTGATCTAAGAAAGTAATTGTTATTCTATTGGCATCGGTTTTTTTTGAGCAGTTGGTCGCCGCCCGAGGACTGGTGTTAAAACTGCTTATTATTAATTATCTCTTATATATTGTATACTTATTAATATACCAGTCAAATGATACGTGGGTGGTCAGTTTAAAAAGAGACAGGTTTAGTGAGGACGTAACAAGGTACACACACTATATTAAGAGTTGAGTCTCGCCTGGCCACACCCGCTTCATGCATTTGAGTGTGACATGTAGGACTATTGCCAGACACACACACACACACACACACACACACACACACACACACTTCTGGCAAATTAGCCCTTGTCAAAGACGTCACAAGCAGGTGTTGAAATAAGTGGGCAATACTTATACGTATTAAGTTACCATTATATAAAGGGGTTCCATTTAGTCGAGCTATTGATGTTGCCAGTACAAGATATTTATAGTATACAGTATAATTTATACCAGATGGATCACGAATTTTAGTTCACATTAGTTGTATAATTATTATAATTTTGTGGTTTATTTACTTGATTCTATAGATTGACCGAATTATTGATACTTTGGTAAATAAATAAAAGTATGGGTATATATTTTGTACACATCTGCCCTGAAACAAATCCTGAGCGACTTATATTTTTATTAAATTTATAAATGTACGGAAATATTTAACACATTTTAAAATATGCCATTGTGGGTCTCTCTGTTAATACATTCGTCCCAGAGCTGGCGACACCGTGTGACCTAGTGAAGGATGGTGGATGATAGACTTTTATCAGTAGGTGAAGAGTTAGCCATCACCTGCTGTCAGACACACCACAGAGGAGGTGGTCTTGTACTGTCTTTGTGTGTGTGTAACGTTACTCTGATATTCATTTGTTTTAGTAATCTTTTTTATATTGATATGTCCTTACCCACATCTCCATTTTTTTAATAGTGATAATTAAAGTTTCGTTACCTGGCGTGTTATCTAACCTACAGACCTGGCTATCTCTCCACCAGGCCACCTGATATAAAACTTGTTACATCATAGGTGTTACAGGAGTCTATGTTGACACATCAGATATTATTTAGTGTCTTACGTGTCGTAGCAAGAATTACTGTATATAATCTTAATTTAAACTATACATAACTAACCCAACCTAACCTAATCTAACCTAACCAAACATACTTCGCTTATGGTATAATTGTTAGTAAATAAAATCTAGAATAATAAAAAAAAATTACAATACGTGAGATAATTATTTTTTAGAAAGTTGAAAATAGACAAGTAAAATGTTTCTTTAGTTGTTATTAAGTATTTTATAGCTTTGTGGAAATATTATCAGCAAACCTCATGACTGTGTGTATAACAGTTTGTTATTTATATACGCCACCTGACTGATCGTGGTTCACATACTAACATCGCTGAAGGAAGACATTATGTGGTTTGACGGCTGGTAGAAGCCGAGTCACTTTTATAACATAGTTCACCACGTCACAATCAATTAGTCCTGGAACAAGCAATTTAGAACCAATCAATGAATTAATCACATGTCAGCATCATCTACAACACGCTGGCAGAATGTAACAAAAGATCAGATAGTTACAACATCTTAGTGACGCTAAATATACAGTAGGTGAGCCAATAAGCACACGAGCCCTCAGACAACAGCGCCACCACCACTACTACAGCAAGAACACGAATATTACACCACCCAACAATACCAACATATGAGAACTATAATGTGGTTGGAGTGAAAGCAGTAAGTATCAGTTTCTTCACCATTCTTGACAATTTGGTGTCAGATCACAGCACCGCTTTCACGCCTTCCTCATCTCGGTCGAAACTGACAGTTCTACATTTTACATCAGTTATGAATTCACTTTAGGGGGAAGTGGATCACATCATGGAGTCTGTACCTGGTAAGACGTCTTCTGCTTATTTCAGTCAACTGTGAATGAACACCAAGGAAATGTTATCAGTTGCAGAAATAAACAGGTTTCCAACTAAATCAAACTGGTCCTCTTTTGTCACATATACCCGGCGTAGTTATAAATGACACCTAGGAACCAGTTTAATCACAAAGACGTTTGGTCCTGACAACATAACCGTAATATGTTGGAAGGAAGCCACCAGAAAGTTACCTCCAGCCCCCAACCTTCGCATACTAGGATCACTGAACCTTTAAAACACACCACTGGTTAACAAATAAGCGTACAGGTAGTTGACTCCAATGGCCAACAAGGGTGACAGGAATAATCTCCACTCGCGTTGTCACTCACTCCCACTTGCTGTACAAACTACCGGAACACATCCTTCCTTTATCATCACAAATCACTGTCATAGTCAACACACAGGCTGACTCAAACAATATTCCGTTCAGAAATGATCGTGTGAGGCCCAGCTGGTCTTTATATATTGTAAGGGACGTGGCCTGCGTTACAGAAGACAAACATGAAATATATTCACTCAGATTTTTGGTCTGTATAGGTTAACTTTGTGATTGCCAGTCCTGATTGGTGACGACCCAGTGAAAAGTTCTGATCAACGGGAAGTGGCTCTCCTCTCTCCCCCCTTCTCCCCGCCGTCTCTCTCCCTCTCCCCTCACCCTCCCCTCACCCACCCTCTCCTCTCACCCATCCCTCACCCTCCCTCTCCTCTCACCCTCCCCTCACCCTCCTCTCCTCTCACCCTCCTCCCTCCTCTCCTCCCATCCCTCACCCTCCCTCTCCTCTCACCCTCCCCTCACCTCCCTCTCCCCTCACCCTCCCCTCCCCCTCACCCTCCCCTCACCCTCCCTCTCCTCTCACCCACCCCTCACCCTCCCTCTCCTCTCACCCTCCCTCCTCTCACCCTCCCTCTCACCCCTCCTCCCCTCCTCCCTCTCTCCTCACCCTTCCCCCCCTCCTCCTCTCCTCCCCTCCCTCCCTCACCCTCCCTCTCCTCTCACCTCCCCTCACCCTCCCTCTCCTCTCACCCTCACCCTCCTCTCCTCTCACCCTCCTCCTCACTCTCCTCTAACTCCCCCCCACCCTCCCTCCCAGCCTGTTGACGCCTTCTGCTTACTGCACCTCAGAATAATCACAAACGTAGCTTATTTGTTAGTTGTCGCCCGTGTTTTAATTGTTGCTAAATTACTTGACGGTCAGACTCTCGCACACACCCCCCCCCCCCACAGGTAGCGTAGGGTTGTTAATTACCAGGTGATGCAAGTTGAATTGGTTAGTCTTTGAAGTCGAATTCTGTGTACTACATCGTACAATACAAAAAACATAATGCAGCACTCACTCGGCTGACAGTGAGCAGCAGACAGTGGTTGCTTGCCAGTCAGTATGTCCTTCAGAACCGGACACACCATGAGGCAGTCCACAGTCGCCAGCACAAGTAAATAACCACTATAATTTATAACTCACCCGCTCAACTATACAAGTGGCAAAGTAGTACACTAGAGTCTTGCCTTTTATGGGGAAGATGATAATGAAGAAGACAAAAACATCCCGTCACTTGTTCATACGCACACCAAAATATGGAATTACGGTATCTCTATATCTAACCATCCTTGACGCGCCCCGCACATGTGACACTTCACCAGTTTGTGCTTGAGCGAGGTTCCAACACTCGCTATATTATGCATTTTTTAAAGTTATGAGAATTATAACCTAGAAATTTTTGCTTTTGACCCATAGACGTGGAACACACATAAAATGATAGGGGCGGATCCATGGGGGGGTGTCCTTGTGGTCCGGATCCCTTTTTTCAGAAAATGTCAATACTTTTTCTTTAATGCAGTATTATATTCAGGCGTTTTTGGATAGTAAAAAGAAATTACTGTTGACAGAATCTCTTTTAATATCAAGTGCACATGGCTTCAAAATAGCCTCAAAATGTCCACGATCGCTAGCTGTGCTCGCCATGTTCCCTCATCCATAACTTATTGGATCCGCCCCTGTTGGTACGATCACATTTTAAGGAGAGAAAGTCATTGTATCCCCGAAATTCCAGACGATGTTCCTCTTCGCTCACTCCACCTTTTGTGACGGCTTGGCATTGATGAGTTTTCTATCCTGTGAGGTGAAGTGACCAGGAAACCCTAAAACAAGAACGAGGTATTTGATATTTCTAGTGTACAATGATAACTTTCCCTTTCTAGTACTGATTAAATTACATGTATTATTTTTTGCTTTCAGTCACTGGACTCCTTGACTGATACAGCTGTGCCTGAAAACATTCGCCTTGGGAGAGATCTTAATGTGGACAAGCCTCTGGGAGAACACGCTGTTTTGTCCAGGATTCGAGAGATTTCAGAGAAGAATGAGATCTGGCGTTCCTATATTGGGATGGGTTATCACAACTGTCGGGTGCCTCATGCCATCCTCAGGAACATCTTTGAGAACCCTGGATGGTATGGCCAAATAGTTTAATGCCCTTACCTTTAAGAAACTTTAGGAATTAGCTTTGCTATGTAACTTGTGTAAATCAACTATTCTTCTCACCACTAACTTTTGCCTAAAATTCTTTCAGGACGACCCAGTACACACCGTACCAGCCAGAGGTCGCTCAGGGACGCCTTGAATCTCTTCTCAATTACCAGACACTGGTTACAGACCTGACGGGCCTCCCTGTGGCTAACGCATCTCTCTTAGATGAAGGAACTGCTGCTGCCGAAGCCATGGCTTTGGCCTACAGGTAAAGTTTTAGTTAACTGTTTTGAAGCATTATTTATTTGAGATTATTTTTGTAGAACTAGAAATAGTTTACATTTAGGACTGAATGTTTTTGAAATATTTTTTTATCTTTAGTTTTTAGTAATACCTGTAAAATCTTTTGTCTTTTTACTAGGCAGAACAAGCGCAGGAAAGTGTATTTATCAGACAAACTTCATCCACAAACTCTGGCTGTTGTTCAGACTCGAGCCATTCCACTTGGCTTGGAAGTTCTCATCGGTGATGTATTTGATATTGATTTTTCTAATCGTGATGCCTGCGCCGTGCTTATCCAGTATCCTGATACAGAGGGCACGGTAAAAGACTTCACCCAAGTTGTTGAAAATGCTCAGACAAATGGAGTAAGTCGTTTAGTACTGTATTGTTACATCTTGTGTTGTGTTTATTCTCTTACCATCTAATAATATCACAGGTGTTGAGTTCCTTAAGTCATTGCATCATCATAATAAGTCAGGATTGTTTATATTTGCTGTGCTTGATAAACCTGAAAAATTACACATCTCTGTAATTGATAATGGATGAGTCGTGTTAAAAGAAATGTCACAGCATGATAAGCTTTATTGTACAGTATAAGGAAGCAAACCAAGTACTGTATGTAGGGTAATTCATCAAAATAATGAAATTGCTCTACATCTTATCGTTCACCCTCAGACAATGGTGGTTTGTGCTACTGATCTCCTGGCACTGGCCATCCTTCGTCCTCCTGGGGAACTTGGTGTAGACATAGCTGTGGGCACGTCGCAGAGGCTCGGCGTTCCATTGGGGTATGGTGGCCCACACGCTGGTTTCTTTTCCTGTAAGAGCCCCCTTGTACGACTTATGCCTGGCAGGATGATTGGTGTTACAAGGTGAGTTGGTCATTCCTCCTACACTTATTTGATGTACCCACAGCTGTCACCCTCACATTCATGTCATCCATAACTACTGTACTTCTCTCCTTCGCCCAAGAATTGATCTGTTACTGTAATTAGAAAAAATAATATGGCTTCTTGCTCTTGGTGACCATTGTATAGCCACCAGACTGAACTTACCAGATTTTTCTGTTTGCATGACTTAATTATGATAATCTTTAGTTTACTGTAAAGATGTTTGTGCCTAAAAAATTATCTACCCCTGTACTTATTTCTTTAGTTTCCAGCTTCACTGGTAATGAATCTCTTGTAAAGTTCATACTGTATTTTGTTAAGTAACTTTCAGAGCCACTTTTCCCTCTGAAAAATATCATCTTGGAGGTATAATTACTTTTTATCTTCTTTTTATGCTTGACCACTAGAGGAGGCTGTGTTATGAAGTTCAGTAACTGTTCTTTAGAGACGCAAATGGCAAGGAGGCATATCGATTGGCTCTGCAAACAAGGGAGCAGCACATTCGTCGAGACAAGGCAACCAGTAATATCTGCACAGCTCAGGCATTGCTTGCAAATATGTCTGCTATGTACGGAGTGTACCACGGACCAGAAGGGCTGAAGAACATTGCAAATCGTATCCACAATGCCACTGTAGTTTTAGCGAGGGGACTTGAGGATGCGGGACATGTTATAGAAAATGAAGCCTACTTTGACACTATCAAGGTAATTCCCTTTCCATTATAAATTAAGATTCAAGAATGTATGAGTACGTGTTAAAGATTAAATATGATTACAAATTTTAAGATGCACACATGTATATTGTTATTTGTTGCTGTACATATACCTGTATTTTGATATTAATATTGATTTGCTGATATTAGTGATACAGTACAGTACTTCTTTACAATTAATGTGAAAGATTTCTAAAAATCACTTAGGTTACCTCAGTCAGATACTGTACATTTATTGTTATATGACTAGGAATGAGTTAGTTAGGTTACCTCAGTCAAATACCATATATTAACTGTTATAAGACTGGAGTTCAGTAAAAAAAAAACTTCCTCAGAAATGTTACTGACCATGATAACACATTGTATTTCAGGTCAATCCAACATTGGCTGTAAGTGAAATCAGAATGAGAGCCCAGCAGAAGGCAATTAACCTACGCTACTTCAGAGACGAGACAGTAAGTATTTCTTAAGTCTTGGCTTTAAAGAAATAGGGTTTTTAAAGCAGTTTTTAAGTCTTACTATTTTAAAAAGTGATTGGTTCTTAAAGTGATAAATGGAAGGGGTTGTTAATGTTTTTTTTTTGGTCAGATAGAATCATTGTTTTTTATAATTATTCATAATCTGTGGCATAATGAGTTTGAAAGACAATATTTTGAATTAGGATTTTATGCCCCAAGTCAAGACATTTTAGCTTCATCTCCCTTTTATCTAACCTTGTTGTCAAAAACTATATACAGTACAGTATATTATTCTCTGCCTTCACCAACAGCAGGGTCAGTTTTAATGTTTGTAGTATGCTGCATAGGAAGTGTGTGTCTGAGTTGTGTGTGATGGTGGAACTACTGTACCTCTGGAATTGTGTTATGACGAAGCTGTGTGTGGGAGGTGTTGCAGTAAGTCATGATGGATAATAACTAGTAAGCGAGGACCTGTGCATTATATAAACTGATGTTAATTCCCTGCAGGTTGGGATTGCCCTGGATGAGACGGTAGAGAAAGAAGACCTCGATGACCTGTTTTGGGTCTTCAACTGCAAACATACAACAGCAGAGAAGGTACAGTGCGGTGTTGGCAAAATTGCTTCCTGATCCATTACAAAAATATGCTGTAAACTTTTTTTTTTTTTTTACTATTTGGAGGATCTAATTAGCTTTCTTTAGTTCTTTAGGTTTAGGAGGGAGATAGGAAGAAACTGGTTCACAAATAGGGTGGTGGACGAGTGGAACAAGCTTAGCAACTTTGTAGTAAGTGCGGGAACTCTGGAAAGTTTCAAAAGGAGGCTAGATAGATTCATGGATGATAGAGAGTGGTAGTAACTCTCGACAGGAGCTGCCATGCACAGGCCAACCGGCCTATTGCAGACTCCTTATTTTCTTATGTTCTTATAATTATTTGATCTACCCCCATGTTTTTAGTTTTTAATGCTCTGATAATTGTGGCTAAGCATACAAACAAACTATGCTCCTCATCAACGCTTATTCATGTCCTTGGCCACAGCGCACATGGATCATTGTCGCTCAGTAGCATCTTCACAGTCACTTTCCTCACTCTCTTCACCTTGTTCACTGTGAGGCTAATAATCATTACTTTCTAAATCACTCACATCATCTGTTCTCTATCCATCAATGATATCTTGGTCCAGTAGTTAACTCTCTCTTGCCCCGCCGCTGAGATTGAGGCGACGTTGGTTCAAAAGTATCGTAGTTTCTCCTCCTACGTGTTGAAGCAAACCGACTCATTCACATAGAAAATACAATATTGTCCATACTGTATAATAACACCTGGGGGATTGCAACTTAAAACTTACTAGTATTTGTCTGTTAATCTACCAAACACAAAATTTAAACCCCTTGGATACTAGTGGTCTGTCTGTGCTTAATATCATCTGTCATTAGCCATAAAATATTAAAAGTGACATCAAGTAGTGAAGAGGTTAAAGATAGGAACCCCATATATACGTACCAGCCACAGTGAAACGGTTAAAGACTTGTTATTCTTCTATCTACTTAACCAATTGTGTGTAACTATATAAAGATGCTGGCTTTTACCTTAACTTTGAATGTCCCTTACTGGTTCTTTCATTACTCATATTATTATTGCACCTTTAACCTCTTTTTCTTGGTATTCCTCTGCTAAAATGGATACCATGATCAATATATAATTAGTGTGTATGGGGTAGAGGTTTTTGTACCATGTGTAGGATGATTCATGCCTATCTCCCCCCCTCCTTCTGTGGTATTGCTCTTACAAATACTACTGGGTTACTCCTTCATGCTTGTACCATCAATATTATATGCTACCAGAGAGTCACAAATAGTTCTCAAGTCCTCGCTCTTATCTTGATGCTTGGTGAACTTCAGCGCCGACTCTTATCCTATGGCGGCCCTACTCATGACCTGCTACCATTATGTTCACCCTTGTTTACTCCCATGCTGTTCTCCCTTCTCACCCATATCTGTTTACTCCCAAGCTGTTCTCCCTTAACCTTCTTTCTTCGGTCCCTACCGCTGCACTGCCTCTCCACTTTACTGCCTCCCCCTAGTGCATCGTAACCCACCTCCCCTTTCCCTCCTCCATCACTTACAGTACATATATAGTATTGTTCATTTGTTCTCTCTAGATCTGTTTCTTATTGTTATTAAGTTTGTAGATGTAGTGCTGTACTGTATGTTATTGTTCTGTGTATGTGTTACTGTATTAGGTCAGTCATGTGTACTGACTCAAAAACCCCACAGTTTTGGTCTTGTTCTCAACCCTGATCTGACACATGACTTATTGAAAAGAAACCATGAAGAGAGTATCCATTTAATTTTGATTTTTATCAGTGAGAGTTATTATGATGTGTTGTGTTTAGCTTAACTTAATAATGTGAAGAGAGTTGCCTGGGGAGTTTGTGTAGCAATGAAGAAGTTAGATGAGGATAATAGTAATTGATATTTAGGCAGTTTGGTCAAGGATAGCCAGCAAAGCCATGAGATGTTTATAGGTAGTAGATAACATCACTGGGACATATTATAGTATCAGTTGATGGATGTTATGAGATGAGATGGTTTTGTATTCATTATAATAGCATCCCCTGTTGAGTACCATTAGGTGCAAAGGAAGTAATTGGTGAGTTAGTTTTTGTGGTGATGTGAGCCTGATAAGTTATGATGGTGTGTTGTGTTTCTAAAAGATAACTCAGGGACATTCAAGCATTTAATTGTGGAGAAAGATTCAATTGGTTTAACTATATCAAATACAAATAAAGTAGTGATCGTATAGGTACTAGAGCTCACAAGATGGATATATATATAACCTTTTCTAAATATTATATAAGTACAGTATTGTATTTAACTTATTATAGCAGGTGTGATGAGTAGACAGAAGGTGATGGATGGGTAGATGAACTCCTACGTAGAGAAGTGAGATATAGTTCATGTATCGGGAATTGTTTATTCTCAACCAAGTTAGGATTGAGACAAAGAGGAATTATTTAATGGACGAAAATTTTCATAACTGTTGAGACCGATGAGGAAGGACAACCATGTAGGAGGTTTATGGACTTTGTACTGGTTATTAGTTATCTTCCATCACTGAGCTGTTTATGGTATTTGGGGAATAATAGTGTGGAAGGAAAACAAAATATTACATTAGTTTGTGTGTTTAGTATACAGTACAGGCCTGGTATATCAAAGTATCAAATTGCCTCATCTCCTCAGAAAAATCACTGTCCTAATGTACATGTAACAGTATTGTCATTTCATTGTATTATTGTTTCCATGTTGCAGGTTCCTTTTTTTTAAAACCATAATTGCAGGTTGTGAAGAATCTTGGTGATATGGTACTTCCCAAGGAGCACTTGTCTAAATCACCTTTCACCCGGACCTCAGAATTCTTAACTCACCCAACATTCAATACCTATCACTCTGAAGCCCAGCTGGTGCGCTACATGAAGATACTGGAGAACAAGGACGTCTCCCTTGTACATTCCATGATTCCTCTGGTAAGATGTGATTTATTATTAGTGTTATTATTTGCAGTTATTCTTATTTCCAGCATCACTTTTTCTTTCATATGATGTAAAACTATTTAATTTAGGGAATCGGATATTGATATATATATACAGTATTGTTGCTTGTATAATGGAGTTGAAGTACACACTGTGGGCTCTCCTGTGGCTTGCCTGTTTTTATGCCCTGGGATCATATGACAGTGTAATCCAGTTGTCTGTCTGAGCAGGTGGCTGGTCAGGTGGTTGTAGTATGTCTCAAGAATAGTTCGATGTTTTTTAAGTAGATTTAGTTCTGGTGAATCCTGTGATAGGCTTGAAGTATGAGGCAGTGGTGGTTTGGACTACTGTCTGCCTCATTGTTGTAGCTTTTTGTAGTCTGCAGTACCATCTTGAAGTCCTCTTCTACACTTGCGACTCCTTTCCATAGATGGGTTGGGTATATTTCTTCAAAGTGGGCATTTACTTCCTTACTTACCTTTAGCCGCTCAGTCACTGCTCTTACTGTCATCTATGAAGGCTCATGTTCATCTCTTTCTTCTTAAGGGTTTTCATTTTTCTATGTCGTCCCCTTTAGGTCTTTAGTCAGGTACTCCTTGTCCAGTGGAACAGCTCCTACACATCAGTTCCTTCCTTGTCCTCACAACCCTCTAGCCTCCAACACATTTGGTCATGCTGACAATCTTCCTGACTCCGGGGGTGATGTCAGGGAAGCCAGTGAATTGGTTCACTTCCCTTAGCGACAGCTTCCCCCAGAAGTTATGGATGGATATTGTAGAGTCCTCGTTTAGTGCCTGCAGAGGTGGCCAAATGTCCTGCCAGTTTAATAGGACCCTTGGTCTGAATTAGGGACTGCCTGTTAAGTCACAAAGGTCACATTTTTGGGTCAAATGTCAAAAGTTGGCAGTATAATTGTAGTTTATTTTGTTCAGAGAGCATCCACTGGTTTATACTGAACCTTTTTTGTCACAGTTTGTACTTGTTTATATATTGATGAACTGAAAAATATCATTTTGGATCAAATTTATTAAAACTATTGCAGAAGACCTGAGAAATTCAAAGGGGATAACATACAAGAATTAATATTAAATACAAGTTCATGGTAAGCAATTTGGGGATATATTCTCTTCATGTATTATCTTGTAACTTAATGATTGGTGTTGTAAGTTTCATGACAGACAACTCCATTACCAAAGTAGAGCAGGATTACTATTGTCTTGGAGGTCATGTATTTCTTATAGTTTATTGATTGAGGAATAATAGATATTCCACATTTCTTCCTGTAGGGATCTTGCACAATGAAACTGAACAGTACCACAGAGATGATGCCCTGCAGCTTCCCACACTTCACCGAGATCCATCCATTCGTGCCTCCAGAACAAGCTCTCGGCTACCGTCTCTTGTTTGAGGAGCTGGAGAATGACCTTTGTGAAATTACTGGTTATGACAAGATATCATTCCAACCTAACAGGTGTGTGTGTGTGTGCAGAAGCTTTTTGGGGTCACTGTTTCCTGCAAGTGTGTCCTTACCTGTGTTTAAGTTGTGACTGTGATAACTAGAGCAAATATTGATATTGTAACCGCCAATCAGACGGTGAATAAATACTTCTCACGTCAAACCTGTCGAGTACAATTCATTTAGTATTTCAAATAAGCCATACAGAGGCACTCTTACATAAATGTTTAATCCAATATATATGGCTATGTAATTAGTCTAATCTTAACACAAAAACAATGACACAGTTTACCTGTGTACACAATAAGTACTAGTTAAACTTACATGTTGAAAGTCTAGAGAGAAGCCAGGGTAGGTGTTGACTCTAAGATATGGGTAGCTATACTGAAATGCCTACCCTATAGCCTGGCCCCTTGGCTGGTCAGCTATGGCTGAGTCAGGTGATTATAATTATACATAAACAAACTCCCTTCACACGCTCCAACCTCCTTCTGGGCCTCTCATCTTCAACCATCTCAACACTCTACATTGTATACGGACACGCACGCCCAATAAACACGACATGAGTTACAGCCTAACATAACATTTGTTTATATGTCATCATAATTATGTTCCACTTGCAGTAACAGATATAGTACTTTATATTTTGGTACAGTTTGGTGTGTGGATGTTACCCAAGAATAGAATGTGATAATCAGTCTGTTCCATTCTTAATATGGGGACTCGAGCCACATGGGGTTACCTCGGGATATTTACATTTGGTTGTTGTGGATAACTCTCCTCTGGAAAGGGACCCAGACCTATTGCATCTTGTGTCTGTTAAATGCTTTATATAGATTAAAATTTACATGTTTTATTATGCTGTAGACTTTGATTTTTAAGTTTTCTCTATTATTGTGGACACTTGCATGTTAGAACCAAGATAATTTTTTTTTTACATTCTAATAAAAGACAGAGAGGGAGAGTGGAGAGTCGCATTTTAATTAATTTTTGGATTAACTCGTGTATATACAGTACTGTACAGAATAAGTGATAGACTATTTTTTTTTTTTACATGTTGAGCACAGTATAGGGGTAGGTATGTATTATTGCAGAGACTTCTTCAAAATGGTGGCTAAAACCTTTGTGATATATGGTAAGTTGTGCTGTATGTTGATCCTCTTGTGGTGTTGTATGTGAGTTATCGATACCACGTCTCCTTGGCTCCTCTTTTGATATGTCATTGTATTGTTCTAAAATCTTAATTCCTGTAGTTTTAATAATTTACATCTTCACAAAAAATCATTTAATATAATTTTCTTCTTTGCTGTCACACAGTGGAGCTCAAGGGGAATATGCTGGGCTGCGGGCCATCATGTCATACCTAGATGGTCGCGGGGAGAGCCATCGTAACGTCTGTCTCATCCCCACTTCTGCCCACGGCACAAATCCCGCTTCTGCTCAGATGGCGGGAATGAAGGTAGAGGCAGTTAATGTTGACAAGGAGGGATCCATCGACTTTCGGCACCTTGTAGCGAAGGTTTGTAGTGGTTTATATATTTCACATCTGTTTTAAAGTTTATACCTTTACTACAGTCATGTTGAGTACTGTATTGGTGTTTATATGAAATTTTCTCTTATTTACAATAGCAGAATTCTCATTAGGTTTACTTTACCTTTATGTCATGTGTCACCTTACCAGCTGTTCAGACTACTACAATTCTCACTATTGGCATGTGCTGAATGTGTTGGGTACTGTAATTTTCTGTTCCATAGTTGACTTGAGATTTCATTTACAGCTCGAGAAACACCGAAATAATCTGGCATGTCTGATGATCACTTATCCATCAACTAACGGCGTGTTTGAGGACAACGTGAAGGTTGTCTGTGAGATGGTTCATGAAGCAGGTGGACAGGTACGTGTTACAGGGAGACCCCAATTCAAGTGGGACAGTCAAAGTATATAAAGAAATAAAGCTCGTGAAATAAACAACAGAGACGTATTCCATTTCAGTGAGGTTAAGGGCTGTTCACCCCATCCTGGTTACCTTATCTTGCACACTTCCTTCCCCTTCCTGATTGGGACATGGTACAGTAGAAACACACTACTGTACTATGCGAAATTCATTCCTGAGAAATGCCAGACTCATGCCAGTATAAAAGATTTGGTAAAGTTTTAATTTTAATGTCGAGTAAATCCGTGAAACAAATTTACAGTTGATTCAGCATGTATACAGGCAGTGCAAGTAGCCATATTATATGCTATATACAGTTCAGCATGTATTTGGACAATGTAAGGGTTAGATATACAGTTCAACATGTATGTAGATTTTGCAGGCACACAATTTGGCATATATATAGACAATGAAGTTACACAGTTCAGTATGTAATTAGACACTGTAGGTATAATTTTATTTTATATTTCTACAGGTTTACCTCGATGGAGCCAACATGAACGCTCAGGTTGGTCTGTGTCGACCAGGAGACATTGGGTCTGACGTCTCCCATCTCAACTTGCACAAGACCTTCTGCATTCCTCACGGTGGTGGTGGCCCAGGCATGGGGCCCATTGGAGTGTGAGTTAGGAACCATAATTTTGTGCTCACAGTCTGTTGTATAGAAGCTTGTAGATGAGGAATGGTTATGGGTGACTAGGGTGTTGGTTTTATAGTGGAATTTCTTTAACCGTGATTTAAGGCAGTGGTTGGGTGTGGAAATTTTTCATACTTATTGAGGATTACCAGTTGGGTGTCTATTTTGCATGTTGTTGAGACTGAAGAGATTGATGACCTATTTTTCCCTGTATGTTTGGGAAGGAAGAAAAATTTGTGAATTCTTGGAACACAATAACCTGTTAATTTCTGTCATCTTCGCCTCTCTCTGAGTCTAGGCTTGACAAACACTGAAATATCATCAGGTATACTTTTAAAAGCCCATGCATGCCCAATACAATACTAATAACTTGTGAAAAACAAAAGGATAAGTTGTGAAGAGGCTAAAGTAAAGGTAAAAAATAAATTAATAGGTTAAAAAGAATATTATTGTTTTTATCTCAAAGTAGAATATCCTTTATTTTCCTGAAGTGAGATTTGGATACTGTTTCCCTATTGTGTACACTTGTTACAAAATGTACCTTTACGGTTTGTGTGAGAGAATATGACACAACGGGTGAAGGATTTTGACGACCCTACCGAGACAACAGGAGTCGCTGTGCCCGTAGAGATACCTTTTAGAGCAAGTGTACAGGAAATTAAATGTAGATTAATTTTAAGATTTGATCTCTTTTTGGGTTTAGTCCTGATGTAAGAACTTAATCTACTAACACGAACATTCTCTTTGTGTAGCAAACTTCACCTGGAGCCATACCTCCCCAGTCATCCAATCGTGGACCCTATGGCTTTGATGCAAAAAAGAGCACGCAGTTTTGGTGTTGTTTCCGCTGCGCCTTATGGCTCTGCTGCGATTCTTCCCATCTCCTGGGCGTATGTTAAGGTGAGAGACAGTGCATCTGATTCCAACTTTATGTACAAGATGGCTGCAATCTGGAGTAACAGTAATCCCAATTGTACTCTAATGACTTATTTTATTTGTGTTATTTTGAAACCTTTCTTTAGATAGTAACTGAATTATAACCATTAATGTGTATATTAACTGTTTTAGTATTGTTTGTATAGTTTTGAAATATTGTACATTGTTTTTGGTGCTATTCATAAAGTACAAGTCTAATGAGATCTGTTGGATATTAAACATTAATCAACATATTGTATATTTTCTCCTTTTAGATGATGGGGCCCAAGGGATTAAGACAAGCTACCCAGGTGGCTATACTAAACGCTAACTACATGGCAAAACGTCTTGAAAAACATTACAAGGTACTGAGGAGCAAAGGCTGTGTGGAGACTAAACAGTACCTTCATTTTTAAGTCACTCCCTGAAACTGTGTCTTTGGTGATCAGGTTGTGTAGTTTAGTGTTGGTCTGTGTCTCTGTGTTGTACGGGAGGACTAAAATCTGTCGACAAGAACACTACACATGTTATCAGGGAGGGAGGGTGTGTGTGTGTGTGTGTATGTATGTATGTATGGGGGAGGGTGTGGTGCATGAGGAAGGGGATGTGGGTGTGTGAGGGAATGAGGGGGAGGAGGATGAAGGTACCTTATTCTTTTACATGTCTTCCAACACCTTAAATAATTGTGTCAAGCCAGAGTGTCCAGGCATAAAACTGTGCTGGCATTCCCATACAAGGTTGTTTCATTGTAGATGTTCCATTACATCATCACTTAATGCTCTCTGATACTGTACCCACTATGCTGGTCGAATTCATCTTCTGTAAGTGTTCGTGTAGTGGCGATCTTTCTGTATAGTGTAATGAAGGAAATATTTTATAGACTTGCATATTATAGCTTTATATATTCTCCATTTTCTGTTGACTGCAGGTTTTGTATCGTGGAAATAAAGGATTGGTTGCCCACGAGTTCATCCTGGACATGCGTGAGTTTAAGAAGATAACAGGCATCGAGGCGACAGATATTGCTAAACGTCTTCAAGATTATGGTAAGTGGAAGGATACTCTAAGTGCTATTTATATTCCTTAAAATCTGAGGTTTTTATTAAATCTTATATGTTATAGCCAGAGAGGCGATGATTATACTCTTTTAAAACTGGGAACAAATTACAATTGCCAAAAGTTAATACAGTACTAAGATAATTGAAGTATTTAGTATGTCTTGTGTTGCCAGTCTCGCAGTGTGTTGGGTAGTATGAGAAGATGTAGCTTGTGTTCTACTGCTGTATATGTAGAATAGATCGGCTCTATTGTAGTAGAAGTTGTATTTTTAGTGAGATTGTAGTGTAAGTATTGTTAAGTGTGATATTAATACCTGTACTGTTGCCCCCACACACAGGTTTCCATGCACCAACCATGTCGTGGCCAGTCGCAGGCACTCTCATGGTCGAGCCAACAGAGTCTGAAGACAAGGCAGAACTTGATAGATTTTGTGATGCTTTGATATGTAAGTATACAAGTATGGTGATGAGATAAAGTGAGAAAACACAGTACCTAAGGATTGGGTTTACATAATACAAGTAATATCCACAGAACTGGGCATTATATGTGTGTTTGTATGTGTCCATGTGATGGTTGAAGATGTGAACATTCTGTGTATAAAAAAAAGATGTGGCCTCTATTATATTGTTAAAGATAAATCGTATACATATTGCTGCCTTGTGATTACATATAGGTAACCTTTGATCAGTGAAGTCCGAAGGAACTCGGTCTCTCCAACAGTAGGGTGCGAGTACAAGTCCCATCACAAGTTAATGGTCGTGTCAGTACAAGTCCCATCACAAGTTAATGGTCGTGTCAGTACAAGTCCCATCACAAGTTAATGGTCGTTACGTCATCCGTTAATGGTCGTGACAGTACCATCAGTTAATGGTCGTGTGTAAAGTCCATCCGTTATGGTCGGTCGTAAGTCCCATCACAAGTTAATGGTCGTGTTAATATTTAACGTTAACTTGGGAGTTTATTTTAGGCACTGTACTGGCTGAGTATAATGAGAGTAGTATCAAATGATATGGAAGAATGGATGTGGATCTTTTTGCGATTATCTTTGAATGGGATATTGGCCAGGAACTCATTAGTGTTTGTTTTGCCAGGATGCTTATAGACCAAACATGTTCATTTATACCTCTTATTTCTCAGCTATTCAGTGTGAAATTAGAGATATCGAGGAGGGCAGGAGTGACCCATCATGTAACCCACTGAACATGGCGCCTCATCCTATAGTTACCGTGGACGCCCTCCGGTGGGGACAGGCCGCATAACGAGAAAAGGCGGCCTTCCCTGCTGTAAGTTGGGCGAGATGAAGGTGGTGGATAGTTGTGATTATGTTGTCGCTTATTGTGGGTTGTCTCAGTGCTTTTGAATGAAGTTACGAGATTATAGGTGTTAGGTGTGTAGTGAACATGATAATTCAATGAGATATGAATTAATGCAGCCTTGTGAGATTATGATTAATAATATTTGAAAGGTTGTTTACATGTAATAGAATCACAACTACAAATACAAAAATAATGACCTGACTGTATTGTAGCATTAGGCTAAGCAGTAGTGTTTCAGCTGTGACACATCCCTGCTTCCAAAATTGCAGGATAAGAGAGTCAACTTGTATGATATTTTGTACGTTATTCAAGAGTTAAAGTGTTAATGGATCGTGGAACTATTAATTTAATAAATATGGTTTACTTTAGGAATATAAAGTGCCAGATAGCAAGTGGTCGATGTTGTCAGATGACATATATATGTGGACCGCACTTGTCTGTACTTGTCCTCATGGAAGCTTACACCTCACCTTTTGACGATTAACTTTTCTACTGTTGGATGTATATACCTTACATATATATGTATATTAAAGATGATTAAACTCTTTTTATGATCAATTGGGAAGGATATTATTTTTCTTCTCACTTTTTTTTTTGTATACAGTGGTAACCGATAATTTTATGGCAAGTAATTTAAGGTAAAACTTCTAACCTTTACGGATAAGCTTCAGTAATCAAAGGCTTTTTCATATCTGTAGGTGTTATTTTTTTATTCTGTATTACCTGTATTACATTCAGGTGACAGTTGTGTTTAACGAGTAAATGTGTCATCCCAACGAGTGGAGGAGGCCTTGCTTACCTGTCTGTAATACATGGATACTATGCCATCATTTCAAGGAGTAAAAAGATGAATGGATGACTGTATGAACGAAGGGAAATGCTTTAGTACATACAGTAAATAAAAACAAGAAAAGAAAGAACGGAATTATATCTGTATATATTTTAGGATCTTCCGTCTGTGTTCCTGGTGCGGGTTTATACAGTAACCTTTTCTACTTCACGAGGAACTTGAGTTATTTTCTACTACTGGGATTTAATCAATATTTGCTGTTTGATATCTCTTACTTACTTGTTCTTCTATTTATAAAGATAACCTGTTCTATTTTTATTATAAACTTGTGGGGTTAAGAAAGGAATAGACTTGCGTTTTTATATTGTACGTGGTAATTGATTGTCCGCGTAAGGGAAGTTCTCGGTGCGGTGGTTAAAATCCCTTACCCTTTACCCATGATACCTTGGTTAGGTACCTGTCAGAATTAAGGCCATCAAGAGTGGTAGTCTGTGGTAGGTCATGAGGGGATGTGGTAGGTCAAGAGTGGTAGTCTGTGGTAGGTCAGTGGTAAGTCTGTGGCTAGTAAGCTGATAAGTGGTGAAAAAAAAAGCTTGTTTGTGTCACACTAGATAATCCCCTTCTCGTTTCTGACCAAACTGGAGAAAATTTAACCTGGGTCAGTGTGTTAACCCTTAGGCCCCGGGTGACATCCGACCAGCGTGCCACTGGGCTTAGGGGCTGATGAGGGTGAAATATTGGGAGCCTTTGTGTAGCTTGGGAGCAGAAGTAATGTTTTTGTGTGTGTAATTTGTATAGTAGTGGTTTATTCATTGATATTTTTATTTTGTATTATTTTCCGATAGATTTACTGCCTTTACATAGTCTTCCTCCTCTTCCTCGTTCTTCCCTCCACTACCGTACAGTGTAGACTATAAACTGGGATTACAACACTCTTAGTTAATGGTAGATGTTGGTCAGGTATTATAGTTGAGGCCTCAAGTTTGTATGAGAGTTTTACTGTATTTCGTCTCAAAAGTCTCTTCGTATCACTTGATGAAGAAAATAGTCTTGTATTTAACTTTCCATAGTGATTTTGTAAAGAATTGCCACATAAAAGAAGTATAATGATTGCCCATAACTATTACTGTAATAATCTTAAAAAATGTATTGAATTAGTTATATTCGTCAGATTTCTTGTTCTACAGCAACACCCATGATGTATGTAATTGTAAATAAGAGAGCGAATGACATACATACTTTTATCATTACGAACACACTATGCAGACAGCACATGCCCGGAACAAACTTTAGTTAGTGACATAGTTTCCCCAGTAAGTATAACAACTTTATTTGGGTGGTGAAACATAGACACTGACTGGTATCTGACACGTGAGGTAGGTAGGTCGGCGGTCGGTCTCCTGGTATGTCATTGTTGTGTAAAAGAATCTATGTTTATAAATGCATAGTCAGACTTCATAGTGGGCTGGTGTCTTTAGGTGCTAATTGTACCCTGAATGATCACACTTCAATGTTATATAAGGTTACCAATATTTATATCTACGGATGAATGAAGTTGAGGTAATTTAACATTATTTCATCTAGGAATTTGATGGAAAAATTTATAATATATTTTTTTGTCAATTAGTAGTATTCTTGTAATGTAGTTTATACAGTATTACATATATTTGAAATTGGTAACTGATAAAGTTAATACAACTCTGTGATGAGACTTTCCCACTAACACTCTGGTCATTCTGCACTACTTTTAGCTATCATCCAGTACTATATCATGAACTATGGTGAATCAGTTGCATGTACTTAAACCCAGGTGTAATTGATGGATATTTTTCTTTACTTTACAATGTTAAATTATGCTTCTATAGTTTTCTAATGTGTAGACTAAGACACTTTTACGAGAATGCAATGTACAAATAACGACAAATAGTGCTTGTGGTGTTTATGATATTGTTCTAAAAGCAGTAATATAAAGACTGGGAGAATGAAGAAATATAACCAATCATCAGAGAGATTTACTTAAACGGTTATTTATAAAGACCTGTATGTAAAGACTCCATCATTCCTGTGTCCTGGGATAATCAATGTATAACCCCTTGTCAAATGGTTATAGGATTTCTTTTATATACAGTATGTTGAATAAATGCAAATTTTTAAATGGCTTTCATATAAATATACCGCCTTGATGAATGTTGTTACTCGTTATCGGTGTTAAAATTGTCATAAAGAGTCCATCACTGTACAGTATCCAGGACCCCATGACAAGTTAACCATTGCTCACTTAACTGTTGAAACTACTGTACTATGCTCTATAATTGTTGACCAAATTGTTCAGATTGTGAACTACACCAAGTGTCAAACACAGCATGTAAAGTGTTGTGTACCTTACTGAACATCTATGGCTAGTAGACCCATAATTTGTGCTGTTAATATGAAATTTATTGAGAATTGAAAATCGTGTAATTGTAGTTTAATATAAATTGAGAATTGAATTCTAGTATATTGGGCTTGTCAGGGCCACTTGCCAACATCTCCCAAGCTCTGACACCGTGCGGTCGGGATCAATCTGCTTCTGGTCACAAGGCGACATGATGCTGTTGACGACATGGGTCAGCCTGTCAGTAGGTCGTCTAAGTTTTGGGAGAGCGACATCATACTCTGAACTTGTGGATTAACTTCTTTGGAAGACTTCAGGTCCTAAGGTAAGAAACAATCAAGCTTATTCCATAAAGAAAAATAATGGTTTTCAGAACATTGTTTTTTGATAAGATTATGTTTAGCTGTTTATTAGCACTTTATACTACTTGGGTGTTTATTTCCTATGGGGAACTGTTTTTACTGAATAATTATTGAAATTTGAATTCAGTACAGTATTTGGTTCTAATATTTCTGAATTATAATACCTGTACTGTATACAATATGAAAATTAACTAAAGACCAATAGATATTTTACAATTCATAAATAGTTATGCTATATATTGTATTTGTAAATATAGTACTGTACTGTACAATCAGTAAATGTGAAAGTAGTGTAGTACACATACAGTGCTGTACTGTACATAGTACAATGGACAGTGTATGCCCCCTGTAGGCAAGTGTTTATAGGTGTATGTACAGTATAGTGTATGAGATGTACTGTATAGTGCATGTACAATCCCTCCTTCATGGAGGGAGAGGAGAGTGACAGTTAGTAACACCTGCTATAGTAGATAGTACAGGACAAAGGCAGGCCATCCTGTATCATCATATCACCATTTGGCCTGCCTGCACCACACGCCCAAGACGACAGCATCTGCTGCTAAATGCAGTACTGTATCTGTAGTATATAAAGTATATTGTGTTTATTTACAATATATTGTACAGTGGTGTTTATGTAAATAATACAGCTCTGTGTCTGTCTGTGTAAGGTGTATAGTTTAGACTTGAGGAAACTTTCCCGAGTACAGTACCTGGAAAAATTCCAGGATGTGCGATATTTTCCGGGAAGAGAAAATTGTGTCCTTACCCGGAAATCTCTCATTCCCAGAACTGTTCTGCACCAATTTTTCCGGCTAACGGGGATAATATTATACTTAATCATCTTTTGAGTTAGTGTATATAATCGATGAATCGGTTCCAAGTCCGTTAGATGTGGTGAATTGAGGTTCTGGGAGTTCATCTCTGGAGAAATAACCGTTGTTATTTCTTTTGCAGTCAGCTAAACAATTTCTAGAGGACCCTCAAGCTCTAGTTACAGCTCTTTGCCATTCTATTATGATGTCAATATGGACCAACTCCATGGGTGGGTGAGCTGGTAGAGATTTATACACCATGTTCTCGATCATGTATTAAGATTCTAGGATTCAGTTCTCCAGGTTTAGATTTATGCCATTACAAGATGAGTTGCCCTTTTGATAATGTTATTTGTTATTATGTAGAAACCAAAATATTTACCTGGTAATGGGAAAACATTTTCGTTGCATTTAAAGAGAGGAAAGAAAACAATAAAAATTTTAAAAATATTTTATTACTTTTTCGAAAAGTAAAATTTAACATCACTTATAAATATTTATAAAGCTAAAATACATTCACCAGTAATTAATACAATGTATTTACAAATTTTTCAATACAAACCTCTTACAGGCTGAGCTGGTATGGAATGTATGAATCCTTTCACAAACCAAACACTACACACACAATACTGAAAGCTATATGTACTGTATAATTATACAGTACAGTATATAATTCAATAACTCACATTCTAATACAGTACAGTACTGTACAGTATATGGCATATGCTACCACATCTGTGGTATTCTATTGCAAACAAGAAAATCAGGTTGTAAAACAAACTAACTTCAATACTAATACTGTATACTGCAGTACAGTACTGTACGACTATTAGAGTTGGCAGGAGGGAACTAAATTTAATCTGTACTTGAAAGATATTTTCTTTAGGGAACTGGATGGACGTACATCATTTAAGATTCTGCTTCTTCAGATTATAGTTTGAATTCTATACGAGGACCAAAAGTACATCCACAAATATTGCATTTACTGAAATTATTAATTGAGAAAAATGAAGAGTTTTTTTTTATACCAGTAAGAATAGAACTTCCAGAAAGAACAACACAAATGGAAACCAAAATTTTAGAGAATTGGGGGAGGGTAGGTAAATTGTCCGACCATCAAGAAGAGAAAAGATTGTGAAACCCGAGTCTTTGAGGTCGTGTTACCAGGACGTGTCGGTGATAAATAAATAGTGTTACACTTGCAACAGCTCAAGGAAAGTGTTGTAAAATATGGTTTATGACCCTGAAACTGTAAAAGCCACAACTGTCAAAACTGACCTTGGTCCATTTTTTCATACAGGAAGTATTAACTATAATCAAATTTGAATATCCATCAAAGGGAACTACAGTGCAGTACAGTAATGTCTTTTAGAATAAAAACAACCTAGACTAATTTTCTGACGAAATTATCATGATCTTGAGAGTAGTTTAACTACGTCTTATAATATATTAAAAATCTATCCTACAATCCAGACAGATAATTAAAAGTCAAAAATATAAAAATAACTCCTTCCTCCCTCAACCAGTAAATTGTAAAAACATCTTTTATAAACAAAAGACTTATAAACAATCAAAGACAAGAACTGTTGTGACATTAGATGTGTCTAGGAGGAAAAGTTAACATCAGTGGAGGAGAGATCTTCCCTCCAAGGATGTCACACACCATCTAATCCATGTTAGTTCCTATCACAATCATAGCAATTCTTAGTAGTAAAAATATGCAATAATGAACATTGAGGATTCTGCATGCAAGTGATTATTCCCACGAATAACACAATTAAACAATGCAATACTGTATTTACACAGATATATCGGTACTGTAATTACCACTACGAGCAGCCTTACAATTTTTCTGCAATGAGATATTTGTACCAACATTAACAAAGATATGAGCAAGAATTAGAATACAGTACTGTACTAATATTTATAAATATAAACGCTGAAGCCCATGAACACTTATAATGGCTGTAATCCTCAAGTTCTGTACTGTACACAAAATATGAGGAGGCTACTGGTATGGAAGTCTGCATCATAAGGAATGAAGAAACAGGTATGAAAATCTGCAAAAAACATTCCCAGATGGTTAGGAAAGTCAGCTTTGTCTAGATTACGACTTGTATGAGTAATGCAATTTGTCTGAAAAGGGCACACAAGTTTCATTCAAGATAATTAATACTGTACTGTACAAAATTTTGGTACAGTGCAAAAATACAATAAGGTCCAATTAACGATCTCATTCACAGAACTTGAAGTCGTCGTTAACCAGATTGTGTGCACTGATTATAATTATTCATGTTAAGAGAGATGTTACAGTGTTCAAGAAAATAATTGACTGAATTTATATTAATTTTCCACACTCATCCCATTCTTCTCGATCCGGTTTCCATATTTGTACCCTAAGATTAAAAAATACTGTACGTATACTATATAAAATAAAAATCATCACTCGGTCAGATTAGTCTGAAGTTCAACTCTCTTGATACTCCTCAGACATATTTACTATAATTCTCCGGGCCAAGTTCTGTAGATCCTTCTTGCGGATGTTGGCAACTTCAATGACCTGCAGGAATACATAGGTACACATTATCATTTAGAAAGGTGTATGAGACTTGCTTCGTAAAAGACAACATGTATTATACTGTATGCGATAACTACAAGATGACCCGAGACACTCTTGCTTACCTCTTCGTGGTTAGCCTGTGCATCAGTGTCATACTGTGTGATGCACTGGTTTGTGATGAGAGAGAAGGCAAATACTTTCATCCCACAGTGCCGAGCAACCACAACCTGAAAGTTATTTATAATGTAAAGATTCCCAAACCGTACCCAGCTAGTACAGTACAGATATATTTTAAGGTTCCTAAAACTTCAACTTGACAATGAATGAGTCTGAATTTTATAAAAGGAAGTGAATCAGTTTCGGTGTTTTAAAAATTCTAGCAGTACATTATATGCAAAAACATTTATACAGTACGGGTATATGCATAATAATATTTCCTTGATCTCTGAAGTTATATAATAGTACAGTATTAATATTTATTACCGTAACTCTGGGTCTATAAAACTTATTATCTCTATTCCACTTTTGCCACACATAAATGAAAATATGAGGCTTGCAATAAGTACTGTAGTGCATTGAACAAGACAAGCTAGATAATGTAACTCACCTCTGGTACAGTGCTCATACCCACAGCGTCCACCCCAATGATCCTCAGCATGTTAAGTTCAGCAACAGTCTCATAGGTGGGCCCACCCAGCATGACATATACGCCTTCTTGCACAACATTCGTCAGGTTCATGTCCGCAACAATCTTCTTGGCCATGGCAATGAGATTTTTGTCATATGCATTGTTCATGGCTGGGAAGCGAGGTCCAAATCGTTCATCATTCCTGCCTCTCAGAGGAGAATCCCCAGCAAATCCCTGAAAGATAAAGTTTTTGTCAAAGTATTTCATCAATTTGATGTATCGGTGAAGGTAAGCAGTTATATCTTCTGCAATGAGTTGATGGCCAGAGTTTTTAAAATTATCATCCTCATCAACATTTTACAGTCATTCTCCACACACCATACCAACCTGCATGTTGATGTGGTCCTTAATGATCATAATGTCACCAATTTTGTATTCTGGGTTGAGTCCTCCAGCAGCGTTGGTGACAATGATATGCGAGACTCCCATCAGTTTCATCACACGTACTGGCATGGCACACTGAAGGGACAAGACCATATCACTACAGTAAAAGGACATTGACTATACTGTAGAATATATTGCTCATATTCCTCTTGTTAAAATGTGTTTGGCCCACACCTTTTATAATTAAATTTTTGTATTTCTCTTTATATGGTGTAATAACAGGACCAATACAGTTAAGATAGTTAATGTGTAAGAAATTGATACTGAAATATAAAAATATTTGTTATTATATTAAGAGTTAATGGATATGTCAAGAGATTTCTCATTAAAATTAATGAGGTACCAATATGTAGCTTACCTTCCATAGTGGATAACCCTCATAGGCATGGAAGCGTCCCTGCATACACATGACTGGCACTCCAGAGAGCAGACCAATGACCATCCTGCCTGCATGACCAGCAACGGTTGACACAGGGAAGTTGGGTATTGACTCATAAGGGAACACATCCCTTTCATCCAGTTGGTCCGCCAAGCCTCCTAAACATAGGATGGCCTTGATGAACATTGTCAGTAATAACTAAACACATTATATATATATATATATATATATATATATATATATATATATATATATATATATATATATATATATATATATATATATATATATATATATATATATATATATATATATATATAATAGCAATACTGTATGGCAAATTAATGAACACAGTATTAATAGGGTTATTTGTATTCCTGGCAATTAATTTAAGGCCTGAGCAAAGGATTAAAAACTTCACCACATTTACAGCCTTCTACTACTGTACCATATAGACTGTGACATGAAGGTGTCTCACAAATCCCCTTCTACTCCATCACCTTGAATACTGCACGAGTACATTACGTACTATCACGGGTGGACTGTGCTGTGTCCCCTCCAGGTAGATTTTCTTATCAGTATATCATTGCCGTTTGTGTCTTCAGGTATTAGTGGCACACATTGTCATCTTTTTCTGAAGTTTATGTATAATTTTGGTGTATTACTGAGTTCTGTATTTACTGATATCCAAGTACAGGCGTCATACAGTGTCCAGTGGCTCATGAAAAATGTTCCAACACATTACTCATTTTATCATTAAAGTACTGTATACTGTAACTTGAACCTTTACAAATTTTTAACAGCAACAAATTGATAAACCGATTCTTTACATAACGTGAAGGTTCACGTAAGAGAAAATATTGTCTTTGGATAATTTAAGTAGATGTGGGAGAATGGTGTGCACTGCATTTATATTTACAAGCACAACCATAGTATACCACATATCACACAGTACAATACTTTAAAGGCTAAAAGAATATTAATATCCAGTAAATACACATGGGTACCTGTGAATACCAAGCAGATACAAGTACTTTAGTATACCACTCACTCTATACAAGTACTGTATACTGTACATGTATTAAATTCATAAGTATACAACTCACCCAGGCCAGATCCACAAATAACTCCAATCTTGGGACGATGTTGTGTGCCAGAGAGCAAGTAGTCAGCACTTTCTTTGATCACCTCGAATGGGTACCTGTAAAACACGTCATATTTTATCCACTGGCAACATTAATAGGTTAACGGGTGATGGCAGCTCTGGTGTACCAAGATGTATACCCGGTACAGTGTGAGTCATAAATCACATTCAGTGGTGTTGTATGTGGTAGTGTGTGGTTGTATGTGGTAGTGTGTGGTATGTGGTAGTGTGTGGTTGTGTGTGGTAGTGTGTTGTTGCATGTGGTATTATCTGGAAGGGATGTGGTAGCCTGTGGTATTATCTAAATTAATAATGACGTTATAACAAAAACATTCAATACATAAATAGTGAATAACAAAAAAAAAAACAATAAAACAAATATTTAATGCATAAAGTGTAAATATCAGACATTGGATGATAAATAAGAAGTTAATAGCAAAATCATTTGATGCATAGAATGTATATTATAGTATTTTTTATATAACACAAATAATAAACATTTAATATATATGCAAATAAAAAAATTATCTAATACATACCTAAACACATTACAATACTGGAAGGATACAAAGGGTAATATTTAAACGAGAAGACATTAAAACAAAGGGCGATCATAAGAATAATGAAACACAAAGATACAGACACTGGTAGTTATACAAAATGCACACGAGGGTTTTGTATCAAGTGTCCAGACGGCGGTGAAGTAGCAAAAGCAGAAGTAACAGCAGTAGTAGCAAATCAGTAGTAACACTGGTGAAGCAAAAACTGACAGGAACAATGGTAGAAACTTACGGGGTGTCGTCCCCCATCACCGTCTCCTCCAGGCACATGCTGCCCCCGCCAGAGGCCAGGGCACGGAGGCGCTCTCGGTGGCTGCAAGATGAGAGCAAGCGGCGGCTGGTTAATGAGAGGCGGGTTAAATAAGCACTTCTAGATGGTTAGTAAGTACATAATGCGAGAAGAAAAAGTTAGAGGCATTTTATGTAAAATTGTTAGCTAGAGGCATTTTAAGTAAAAATGTTAGCTAAGGGCAATTCTCTGTGGGAGAAATGTTAGGTAGAGGCATTTTACGTAAAAATGTTAGCTAAGGGCAATTCTCTGTGGGAGAAATGTTAATTGGAGGTATGCACCGGCTCATGAATGTATCTGAACCTGCTCTAGTGCTTCCCAAGTCTAGTCTTGAAAGAGCTCACACTCGGTGCCGTCACAACACAGTTTTCTGGGCATGCGGCTTCTTCAACCTTGAGCTGTGACCCCTTGTGGGGCGAGCGTCCGTCAGCTCCAGGTAAGGACGCTCTAATCTCTCAAGGTAGCTGAGGTGCCGAAGTGCAGGCACCAGTCTGGTGGCCCTCCTTTTGACATTTTCAATCAACTGACAGTCCCTAGCGTATCTCGGGGACCAGAGTGGGTGACTACTCCAGGCGGGGAAGCACCTCACTCTAGATTAGAAGATCGTTACGAGGGACAGACCCTCTAGATATCTAAACGACCTTCTTATATGACCTAATTTAGTTGCTTGGTTCACTCAGTGCCCCCCCAACAAAAGAAGCGTAGTGTATGCCCGTGGCCCTTGGCTTGTTTGCCCCCCCCCCCGTGACCCTACAAAAAATACATATTGCACAGTGACTCTTTTTTTATATATATATATATATATATATATATATATATATATATAGTTTGTTTGTTGTCAGACAAAAGCCACCCCGATCAAAGTAGGGGGCTTTTGTCTGGGTGGCTTTCGTCTGGGGGGCTTTTGTCTGGGTGGCTTTTGTCGGGGGGGCTTTTGTCTGTACCCCAGTGAGGATAGTGTCTTAGTATAAAATCGCAATGCTGTGAAACAAAATCTTAATATTTAATCTCAGTACCGCAGCAAAAGTCACATCAATATTTTTTAACCAATACTTTAATATTTCTTACCTTATAGTATTATGTCTTCCAACGAAGTAAATAACTGGATCGAAAACACAAGAGAACTTAAAAGTCGTCTAGCCTCCCCTCGTCTTGTCACGATGGAGACTTGTGGAGAACTGAAGTGAATTGCTTGTAACTGGTGGATTGGTCGGCTGTACATGAACTGATATGACCCGAGACTGCATGGTTTTGCAGCTACTGGAGACGTTAATTCTTCCCTTTGTATCGGCGGCAAGTTAATCCTCGTCGTGTCTGACCTAACACCTGACCCACACCACATGAGCTCACTGGCGTACTTGTTTGAAGTTGTTTCCTTAATCCTCAACAGGTTACAGGTTGTGTGTGTGGCGGGGGGCGCATAGCAAGGGTGTAGCTCATGACGTGGCCGTGATGATGTGGGTCAGGTGTTAGGTCAGACACGACAAGGATTAACTTGCCGCCGATACAAAGGGATGGATTAACGTCTCCAGTAGCTGCAGATATGGGTGATGAGCAGACCCAAAAGTGCCGCCCCCCGTGCCGCCCCCCCCGACCCCCCCTAGCTACGCTAGTGGACGGGGCCAATGCTCCCCCTTCCCTCCACCCCTCTCCCCCGATTCCTACGCCACTGGAGGATAAAGGTAAAAAAAAAAAAGAAATGAGAAACGATGCTAGAATCACTAGTTCATAGTTGTTGGGAAAATTTTTATCAAGAATAATGGCAAGTAATAAGATATTTTGCTGTATTTTCCTTACAGTGGCAGGCAATCAACTTAAGGTTCGGCTGAGAAGTTCACACAGGCATATCCGGTGTAAATAACCGAATGGGAAATGCCTCAATCAGTCAGAGGGTTGGCGACCAGTCCTCCACTCTAAACGTTCTCGGGCTGTTTTTACCAATGCTCTAAGGCTTTGAATCTGGGGACCCAATTTTTTATTTAATTCACCCATCCCAGGCTCTGCCGTCCCCTGGCCCTCCTACCCTCAACTTTGTCCATTAATATTTATATTATTATCTCTTTCATCCCTAACTATATGACTAAAGTAGCTTATCTTATTTTTCGTTACTTAACTTACTTACGTTACTTAACACTCAACAAGTAGACGCAAGATGACAGTCACATATAGGAAGATGACATCAAGTGTTTCTCAAAATTCCTCAGTGTGTTGTGAACAGTGTTGCGGGTAGGTCGGTGCACAAATATCTACGTTTGAAGCAGTGAAAAAGTGTATTTTGGTGTAAATCTAGATATTTCTTATAATCACGTTACTGTAAATGGAATTAGAACTTCGAATTGAACAAAGAAAAAACTATTATCTAGTAATAATTAAGTGTGCTGTGTTCGGAAGTAGCCTATAAGTAGAGAGGCGGTAATTGCTACCCTCCTCTGCCCTATTACCGACCAGGGCAAGTGAAGGCTGGGTGAGCGGACAAACCCTCCTCCCAAGTCTCGGGTAGTTTGGAACTATCGTGGTTGGCTATGTTTTAGTGTGTCAATATAAGCCTTTACCTGTGGCTCCGGCTACTAGGGCAGCCATTACTGCTTTTGACTACTCGTGAGAGACGCTATTAATTTCCAAAACAGAAAAAAAAGTGTTAGTGTAATGTTGCCGTAGACCGACCTTAATTAATGTGAAGAATGCAGTGATATGTGAGCAACATACAATCGGTCTCACTTCAAAAGCTAGTTTTCCGGCATCTTCGTGGTGTAGATTACCGTAATATAATCTTTTTCTTTTCTATTTTTAATTTCTTTTTACTCTTATTTTATCGCCACCCTAGGCCCCGTTGTGGATCGATCTGTGCCTGGGTGAGCTATTCCCCGTAAAAAAAGAAAAAAGTGAAGTATTGGGTTGTGATCACCTTCTGAAACCAGACGCCATACTTGATATAAAAATCTACCTGTTACCAGCGGTTCAAGGATTCCCGATGCTTTAACACAATGCTGAATAGAGACGTCTGAACACTAAAGGTTGGTAAATGTTTACAAATGTGTCTGGCGTGTTCTTTTTTTTTTATTGGTAGAAACATGGTCTGTTGTTTATCATAACATATTCTTATGCGTTCTAACCTAACCAAACATTACTTTTACCTAGCTTTCCAGTACTTCCTAACTTGGCATCACCAAACCTATCAAACCTAACCTAACCTTTAGCTAACTTTACATTACTTTATAACTTAGCGTCACCAAAAACCAACCCTTCATAGTTGACAATTTAGATATTTAAAGTATCAATAAATAACAATTATAATGCTTTGAATGTAAAAAAGTTGACTTCAGAAAATGTCCTTAACTTGCAAACGGATATGTTCTTAAAATCTTGGTTAGACAGGCAAGGATTCGTGCTCTCCAACACTTAAACAGAATAATGTCTTCAGAATTTTTTGATGAGAAGCTGTTAGAGTAGAGTGAATGGTAAGGTAGTAACAGACATTCGTTATGCAGATGATACTGCTCTTATTACAGAGAGTGAAGAAACACTACAAAAACTGGTAAACAGATGAGATGAGAAATGTGAAAATGATGCATAAAATGATTTTAAAGCCGAGAGGGCTCTGTTGAATTTTTTGCTCGCACGCCATGATTTCGTCTGCGCTGGCAACAAAGTGACGTACTGTGCTTCATATCCCTAACCACAAGACTGTCAGGGTTCATTTTGATTTACTTTTGTCACAAGGATATGGCCTCTCTCTCTCTCTCGTAAGTATGTTTGTTGTATCATGTATGTAGACGTGCACACATTCACGTTTTCCCAAGCCTGGTATCACCGGATGTAACCTTGGTTTCTACATAATAATATTGAGGTCAGATGACAACTTCTTACCACAAAAGTTGGCAGTGTAAGATATCACATGTTGTATACAGTAATAATCTAGTATTTGACAGATGTAATGCGCAATCATGAGAGTATTAACGTAGTATTTTTTTTATATTCAGGTCAGGTATTCCTTCTCCTCCATTAAGGTGGGGGGGGTAAGCGGACTCGGCGTTCTGCGTCACAGCTAGGGTACAACACCCTTCCTACTTCCTAGTACCCAAACGTCTTAAATACGAACGGCATTTATTATCTACTCCCACATGTACTGTACCGTTCATCAATTCAGGAAACTTGGAATACTAGAAGTTATTTTAGTGGAATTAGCATTATTCATAATTGAAATATTTAATTTTAATATTCTGGTAGTTGGAGTATCTGGCATTGAAAGACAACTGTAGTATGTAATAAAACTAATTTTTCAACCCCATAAGAAAGATGTACAAAAATTTGAAGAATGAGGAATATAAGGACAGGGTTGAAGCAGTCCAGGGCGTGAATACAAGGAAGTTTTACTTTCCTATTTCGGCGGGACCCTGAGCGTTTCGCGCCCATGACGTCATCAAAATAGCCAATGGCACACACAACGTTAAATTCTCCACACTGTGCAAGAGATCCATTAAAATTATCTTAACTCTTTTCTGTATTTTGTCATATATAATTATTAATGTCTAACTTTTAAATTTCCCAGTCACAATTAGTAACACATTATACGGGCGGTTTTTTTAATGTTCCGACGCGTTACACCATGTCTGGGAAACGTGAATGAAAACTATCACCATTACTTCAATTCTATAAATCTCACTGGTCAACAAGGACACATTTAACTCACTTGAAGCGAAATAGCGAGAAGAGCAGATAGATAGTCAACACCTTGACCACAACTGAATCCTGGGTCGGTCCACCCCTGATGTGTAGGCCCATTGAGGACAGCGGAAATGCCAGAATCCAGGTATAGGCCTGGGAAATACTAGAAGTGGTTAAGGGGAATTTTTTTTTTTTTTTTGAGAGAGAGAGAGAGAGAGAGGCTCTGAAGTTAGGTAAAATAATTTTCGAGACTTTATTTATCTTATGCTACACAGCCAAAAACGTTGATAACACGCCAAGTTACGAGATTCTTACTGCGACAACTTCACATCATTTACATCTGATGATTTGACAACCTTGTGAAAATTATAGCGGTCAGAAAA